GAAACATTTGTTTAGTCTTTTGATAGATTCATTGTTGCTATAAATTGGCTTGAGATTGCTTATTGTAGCCAAAGTATTTTGGTTGGTCTACAAATATTGTTTTTTTGTTAACCACTAGCTATAATTTTTACATTTGTTTCTTTGGCCGGAAACTTGCTAAAAAATTTTTGCTTGATGCATTAAAAAGAATATATCTATATTTAAATATATATACATCTAAATAACATCTGATTGACTCCATGACCACGAGTGGAGTAAGATTTAAATCGTTTACTGGGATTATAATCATTACAATAGACTTTGCTGCTATTGTGCAAAGAGGAGTCTCAACAATTAATTAGAGACGTGTGTTTTAACCTTGCTTTAATATTTAGTGCAACTACGATGCCGTGAAATGTTGTGTGGCACTGAACAATAAGATAGTAGAAGATGTTATGGTGAGTATGCATTTTTAGTGCTCTCAAATACTATAAATACATTTCAAAACAAGCCTTCTACTAGGTTTACCGTTAGATTATCCGAGTTCTTCTAGATTACAATAAGATTATAAATCCGGTGAATAATTAGAATCCTTTTCAAGCCAAAAAAGTTCTCTACCCACCAGAAATTCTTTCCTTATTTGTACTAACATACTTTACTAGAAGTAAGTTGGTTGACTGATTTGCCTCATGTACCAAGTGCAAAACACTTTTAACAAGCAGTGCCTTCCCTATTTTCCCTAGCAACCTGACTTCTAAAATTTGGCTTGTTTAGTATCTACACTTTAAAATAAGTGACGAACTAATGCAGTGACAGTAATTCATCCAGATTTTTCATTGTTTCTTGACCACTTTTTGTTTCGTTTCTAGTGTATTTTATGTCAAGTTTTACACTCAAGTTAAGGAAATCTTCGTGGTTACTGAAGAACCCTCCCTGTTATTTTCTGCAAAACGCGAATGTTTTTAACAAATAGGACACAGTAATTTGTTTTTATTTTGCCTTATATTTAAAGGCCAAGTTGCGTGACGGAAGTCGAGTGGACACAAAGCGTTGTGCCACAGATGCTTTGCCACGTAGTAACATGCGAGACGTAAGTTACAATTTAGTTAATTTTGCATATTTTGTAGCACTTGCAATGGATAAGGTCCCACAGTTTTGAGTTTGAACTGAATGAGAATAGTGAGTACATAATGGCGAGAGACAGGCATTTGAATAAACGGCTTCACATTTGTTGCCGCAAGGGCATTTCAATCACTAAGTCCTGCAGAATCATGATTAGCATTGCTGGCTTACTCGAAAGGATGTAAATGCTTCTATGTGATAGTGTGTAGTTTCGATTTGTGACGTTCCCTCTTCCATGTGCTTACTTTCTTTTAGCATGTTATTTATGATATACCGGGCTATCAAGAAACATCCAATCCAGGTATCTCAGCCATATCAACTTCCTCCATTCCATTAGTATTGAAAACCTTCTCTACACTAAGAACCTATCTACCTCAGATTACTAACTTTTTAACTAAGCGATTAGCAGCCCACTAAGTGTCAAAAATGTTAATGTTGCTTCTTCAGTTGTCAGTAAACATTTCTCTGTGCACTGTTTCAAGATTATCTCAGCTACGCAAATGCAACAAATATCAATACGACAGATCGTCAAGAAATTCGGTCTGAAAATGTAAGTCTGCCTTTTTGATTTCTCATTGATTTAATGAAGGTCCTAATTCAGCAGATGTTCAAACAATTTTTTGTAATTTATGAAGCACCTGGGCGTGAAGATTTGAAACGTTTTGGGATGTCAAATATGCATTTGATTGCATGTATGTAGACATAGATGGGCATGCATCAGTAGAATGGTATGGTACACTTCAGAAACACTCTTTAAATTGTCCCTCAGTTTGAAATCTGATATCCCCAAAAATCGGCTGAAGTGAACGTGTACAAGATCCGAGATTATGACTTACACGGTTTGAGTATGTTTGGAGTCACATTCAAAAAACGTAGTTTTGCAGACGTAAGTAAACTTTAAATAACGATTGCGATTTAGAGGATTACGGCACGAGCGGGCCTGATTTGGCATGATCCTTGATACAAAGTAGCGCTAGCGCATCTGAGAGCCTCAATCAGTGTAGTGGAGTGTATCCCGGTTGTATAAATCAAGTAATCTGGCAGTGGTATTGCAACAGCATGCTATGTTAGCTGCGGCCAAGGTGGACTAATCCCTCCAAGCACTACCTAATGGTGGCTTCAAAGGTGGCATTTCACTGATAGATGCTTTTGGCGAGGCATTTGGCTTGGGCATTCATGGCGTTTCTCCTCATATTTTCCCAGTCCGTTCGTAGAAGCGCATCATATCGTGAGTCTTGAATTTTTGCATGTACAAAATGTTGACTTTGTTTTATTATGAACGAAACAACTCGTAGCCTCTACTGTCGATAT